TAGACATAGCCTTAATGGATTGAAAAATATTCTTGTTACTTACCTTATAGTAACTGGAGTTCTTCAAGTGGGGACCCTATGTGTATTCCACGCTAGGTGCACATGCGTTGCATATGCCTGAAACAGGAAGATTTTTCATTAGCAGTGTTCGTTGGTCCACATCTGCACCCTCTGCCTCCTCATGCTCTAAAACAAGAGCATATGAGGCGGTGTGGACTAAACGTCTCTTCAATTCCTTTTGTACTATGAATCACCTAAGGAAAGAATCCAGAGGAGAGGGGAAGGAGGCAGGGTAGCTGAATACGTATAGGGCCCACACATCTTGAAGAACTCCAGTTATATAAGGTAAGTAACCAGAATTTCTTCTTTGAGTGATAGTCACTATGTGTATTCCACTTTAGGCGGCTCATAAGCAGTCCTTATTGAGGAGGAGGAGGAACTCTGCTGTATCACAGATTTCAGGATCGCTGTGCTGAAGGATGCATCTGCTGAAGATGCTTGTGCCAGGGTGTAATGCCTAGTAAAGGTATGCACAGAGTCTCATGTTGCTGCTCTACAGATTTCCAGGAGGACATCCTGAAGAGATGCCACTGAGGATACCTGGTCTCTGGACGAGTGGACTCTGACACTGTGGAGGAGCTATTGCAGCCAACTCATAGCATAGCAGGATGCAACCTGAAGCCATTTAAGACGTCTCAGTGAGGAGATACCCTTTCATATGTTCAGCAAAGGAGATGAATAGTCTAGGAGATTTCCTGAAGGGTTTTGTCATCTGCAAGTAGAACACTAAGGCTCGACAAACATCCAGAGAATGGAACTCCGTATCTTCTCTGGAAGGTATATGACCTGATTTAAGTAGAATTTGGAGGGAATCTTTGGAATTAATGTAGGGTGTTACCTCAAAGAGACCTTATCCTTATGGAATGCCCTGTAGGGACGGTATACCGCCATAAGAGTCCCAACCTCACCAGACTCTTCTGGCACACATAACTGCAGTCAGAAAGGCCACCTTTACAGACAGATGAAGAAAGAAGCAGGAGGCTAAAGGTTCAAATGGAGGATTCATGAATGTTGCAAATATGAACAAGACTGAGGTCCCAAACTGAAGTAGGTTTTAGCACCAGAGGAAAGCTTAAGGCCTTTTGAAAAAACTCACTGTCATAGAAAAAAGAACAAGGAGTACTTGTGGCACCTTAGAAACTAACAAATTTATTTGAGCATAAGCTTTCATGGGCTAAAACCCACTTCATCAGATGCATGCAGTGGAAAATACAGTAGGACGATATATATACACAGAGGACATGAAAAAATGGGTGTTGCCATAACGAGAGTAATCAGTTAAGGTGAGCTATTATCATAGGGTGGGTGAAGACCAAAAAGTTCTCCACCCGAGGAACGAAGGCATTAATTGTCACCAAATGCATTTGCAGCAAGCTGAGGGACAGACCTGATGTTTTTAAAGAAAGAAGGTAGTCCAGAATGGGTAGTATCTCTGAGCCCTGCGGAGGTACAGTAACTTCTCACTTAAAGTCATCCCGGTTAACGCTGTTTCATTGTTACGTTGCTGATCAATTAGAGAACATGCTCATTTAAAGTTGTGCAATGCTCCCTTATAATGTTGTTTGGCAGCCACCTGCTTTGTCCACTGCTTGCAGAAAGAGCAGCCCGTTGCAGCTAGCTGGTAGGGGCTTGGAAGAAGGGTGGACCGGCAGGCCCCCATCAGCTCCCCGCTCCCCTAAGTTCCCTGTGCAGCAGCCGCCCAGCAGGCTAGCAATTGCCAGGCAATTCAGCTGTCCCTCCCACCACTGCCCTGTGCTGCTCCTGCCCTCTGCCTTGGAGCTGTTCCCGGGAGCCTCCTGCTTGCTGGGGGGGAGGGAGGGGACAGGGGGGAGAGGGGTGCTAATGTCAGGGTGTCCTCCCCCTCCCCCACTCCTGTACCCCCAGCTCCACAGAGCGGGGAGGAGGACACACGACAGGGCTCAGGATGAAGGGAGCTTGCTGGCAGCAGCTGCTATCTCAACTTGCTGATAGCTCAGTGGTTTGAGCATTGGCCTGCTAAACCCAGGGTTGTGAGTTCAAACCTTGAGGGGGCCATTTAGAGATCTGGGGCAAAAATCAGTACTTGGTCCTGCTAGTGAAGGCAGGGGGCTGGACTCGATGACCTTTCAGGGTCCCTTCCAGTTCTATGAGATAGGTATATCTCCATATATTATATTATCCTTAAAAAGGCAATGTACTTAAAGTGGGGCCACTGTAATTAAAGGGGCAATGCACATCTCTCTCTCTCTCTCTCTCTCACACACACACACGGTGTGTGTCTCTGTCTCTCTCTGCCATGCTGTCTCTCTTCCCTCCATTCTTGCTGCCTTGTAGAGTGTGAGGCTACATTAACAACGTGTTAACCCTTGAGGGCTCAGCCGAGTGCTAGTTCATCATTTAGCAGCAAGGCATTCGCTGGGAAATATCCCACCCTCTGACTTCACCACCTCAACCAAGCTTCATAATCAACATTGCTGGGTACCGTAATAAATTGTTTATTTAAAACTTATACTGTGTATATATGTGTGTGTGTATATATACATATATAAAGTATAGTCTTTTGTCTGGCGAAAAACTTTTCCCTGGAACCTAACCACCCCCCATTTACATAAATTCTTATGGGGAAATTAGATTCGCTTAACATCATTTCACTTAAAGTAGCATTTTTCAGGAACATAACTACAATGTTAAGCGAGGAGTTACTGTATCTGATGGCGTTGGCACAGATGGAAAAATCTCTTTTATTTTGCAGCATAACATTTTCTTATAGAGACTTTCCTGCTATTATTAAGGATGAATTTTACTGCCTTAGAACATGACCTCTCTAAATTCATCATCCATCCAAATACCGAGCTATTAGACAGAGGGATGCTGGATTAGGATGGATGGTCTTGCCTTCGTCTTCAGTCAACAGATTAGGAAACAGCTGGTTTTGTATGCATGGACTTGAAGCTATCTAAAGGATGATCAAAGCTACCTCGGCCACCAGGGTGCTACTAGGATTATTGATGCTGTGTCTTGCTTGATTTTCCTCAGGATTTGAGATAAGAGGGGAATGAGTGGGAGAGTGTACATTAGCATCTCCTATCAGCGTATCAGGAGTTGTGTCCCTGAGCTGCTCCAGAACAGTAGTCTGGGCATTTCTTGTTTTCTTCGGATACAAAGGCATCCACAAAGGGAATTCCCACTGTCAGATGTGCTGTACCACTGAGCTGTGAAGCATCCAGTCACGGTCTCTGTGGATGTTCCTGCTGAGGCTGTCCCCTAGGATGTTCAGTACTCCCACGAGGTGCACTGCTGAGAGACAGATCTGGTGTCAGATCAGCTTGATCACTTCCATGCAAAAAGGCATAGATTTCACTCCTCCCTGTTTGTTTATATAGTATACTATAATCATAGTCTTTGTGGGCTAGAGCCCACTAAAGCTTATGCCCAAATAAATTTGTTAGTCTCTAAGGTGCCACAAGGACTCCTCATTTTTTTTTACTGATACAGACTAACACTGAAACCTATAATCACAGTATCTCACATGACCGGAACATACAGGGCATGGAATCTTTTGCAGGCTGTGTGTACTGCTCGCAGTTTTTTGTGAATCTTGGATTCTTGCTGGGTCCAAGAGCATTGAACCATGTTTGCCCTGATGCACACCCAAACCCTATAGGGAGGTATCCATTATTAGCTTCTTTGTGGATGGACAGGAAACAAAGGGAACCCCTACACACACAGCTTCTCTGTCTTCCCATCAGATGAATGATGTCAGAATACTGTGGGGAAGTGAGATTTGCTTGACCAGGCTATCCCTGTTCAGAGCATAACCACACCTGAAAAGACTGGAGATGGAGCCTTGCAAAGGGAGTCACATAGGTACAGGGCCATGTGGCCTAGGAGGATCAGGCAGGATTGCACTGACATCTGAGGGCTCAATCAAAGATAGATGATGAAGTCCCTCAGAGCTTGGAATCTGTCCTGGGGTAAGTATGCTTTGGCTGTAATTGAATCCATAGCTGCTCCAATAAAGTCTATAATTTACATGGTAATGAAAGTGGTTTTTTCTAGGCTCCCTAAGGATTGAAGGACACTGACAAGGGATACATCATTGACTGCACTTCTCGGTATGATTGACCCCTGAGCTGCCAGTTGTTGAGGTAGGGAAATATTGGAGTGACCTGGTTATGAAGGTATGCCGCCACAATAGATAGTACACCTTTGTGAAAACCCTCAGGATGGTTGAGAGACATAAGGAAGTACTCCATATGGATAAAGGTTTAGGCCCACCATAAAGTGCAGGAACCTCCTGTGTGCTGGACAAATGTGTATGTGGAAATAGGTGTCCTTTAAACTGAGAACTGCAAAGCAGTCATCTTTCTTCAAAGAGGAGATTAGAGAGGCAAGATGACCATTCTGAATCCTTAACAGTGGATGAAGACATTCAGTTGTCTGAGATCCAGAAAGCGTCTCCAGCCTTTCTTCTTTCTGGGGATGAGGAAACATCTTGAACAAAACCCCCTTACCCTATACTGAGGAGAGACAAACTATATAGCTCCAGCTGGAGCAGGGAGTCTACCTCCTGTCTGAATATTCTCCCATGAGAGGGGGTGCCTGAAAGGAGACAGGGAGGGATGTTTTCTGGTAAGGATGAACAGAAGTTTTATAAGATATCTGGTGGTGACAATTTCTGGGACCTATTAATGCACCATGATAAGATGCCATGCTGGGGAGAAATGGGCCAGGTGGCTACTGAATGAATTGTGGGTGCAGGAGGGCTGGTTTGTGACTCTCAAGGGTCCTGTCAAAAAGATTTCTTGGCAGGAGCCTGGGGCTGGTGAGAGAATGACAGAGACATTCTGTCTGCTTCACTGCACTCTGGTGCTTCCTGGAAGGCTGATAGGCCCTTTTGTAGTAAAAGAGCTGAGAAGTGGGACACTGCTTATACAGTGGTTGTGTGGAGTATTTTCTCCAAGGTGCTGGGATGCATATACCCAGGAAGCAGAGAATTGCATGACGGTCCTCACAAATATGTAATGACTCATCCATTTTGTCACTGAACAGGTGGTTGCCCTCAAAGGGAAAATCTTCCAAAATGGCTTGAACTTCCTTTGGAAATCCAGAGGACTGGAGCCATGAAGCTTGTCTCATGACAACAGAAGTCGCCATGAAGTGAGAAGTGGTGTCTGCTGTATCTAGAGAAGCTTGAAGGAACGATCTAGCTATCACCTGACCCTCATCAATCATGGCTTGGAAATGCGATCAAGCTCCTCGGGTAGGTAGTTTGTGAACTCAAAAAACTTCTTATAATTAATGAAATCATACTTAGACATCAAGGCTTGATAACTTGTAATGCAAAATTGTAGGCTAACCAAGGTGAAACACTTCCATCTGAAGAGGTCTACTTGTTTCATGTTCTTGTTGGAGGCAGTAGATACATTCAGTGATGGCCTATACCACTAGAGAGTTCGGTGTGGGGTGTGAAGGTAAGTTTTTCGTCCTTTTAGATAGAACAAAGTATTTCTTCTCCATTCTTTTCAGAGTAGGGGGCACAAGTGACTGAGTTGTGCTAGACCTTTTTTGGCCAGCTCTAATATAGCCTCGTTGATTGTAAGTGCAATCTTGCTAGGGCCTGCACCCTGAAGGATATCTAGCAACTTACGAGTGGTATCCTGAACTTTTTCCAGGGGAATCTGGAGTGCATCTGCAATTCTCCTCAGGAGATCTTGGAACTGCTTAGTCACCGGGTGATGGCGAGGCAGGTGCAACCACCTTATCAGGAGATGAAAACAAAAACGCTGTTGGGGAGAATAGGTCTGTTGGTTCAAGTTGCTCCTCCTCCCCATAGTGCTCCTCAGTGGGCAGGGGTTCTTCCTTATGAGGCGACTCCTGTCTGATCCTCTGTAACCAGGAGATCTCAGTGTGAAGGACCATATGGGTAAGCAGGTGGTGCTATGGGGAAGGATACCACTGGTCCTGAGCTGGGCAGAGTCCTGTGGAATAGGGTGGGTGCTCAAGAGCCTCTGGAACCTCTCTTGGGGGTAATCTTGTATCTTGGTAATGTCAGTGGACCCACTGTCTCAGTCTCAAACTTTCCGGAAGAATACGAGTCCTCAGATTGCACTGGTGGAGCTGCTGGTACCAGTTATCTTGTAATGCCTCAGCGGATCATAGGTACCAGCAAATGGCCAGCGATGTGAGAAACTCTCTGCTGATTACTGGCTCTGCGAGGACTGGTGACCCCAGGTCAGAATATTCAGTCAGGTCATCAAGCACAGTACATCCAGTCCTTGAGGAAGGTGAGCAGGAGGAGCTTCTACCTCTTGGCAGAGACAATGGTGCTAATTTAGATCAGGCAGTGAGAGCTGGTACTGCTGAATCCTTCTTCTTGCTGTGGGATGGTACTAGCCGTGTGGGCAGCTGCCTTCTTTCCCTCACTGATGCTGATCCTGGCCCTTCAGCAGTTGGTAGTTTCAGAGCACTCTTGGTTCTCAGCACTGACGAGACAAGCCCATGCTTCCTGTGAGCTCCTGACACACCCACAGCAGGGTGCAGAGTCCCACCAGACTTTGAGGCCACAGGGGAAGAAGTCCACATCTTGGATCATGACTTGGGAGGGGATTTCTCTCATTTTTTGAGAGAGTGCTCCCAGCTGCTCTGCCTCCTAGTCTGTAGCTCTTCCCTCTGATGATCTGGAGTCTGCTAGCACTGTGGCTGCATGGGCACAATAAGGTGCCTCTGGCCAATGCACAGAGGGGTCTGATGACCCAATGTTGAACTGGATCATCAGGGAGAGTTCCACCAGGAATCTTCTGAATTGCAACACTCGATATTGCTGGGTTCAGAGAGGAAATGAATGACAGATGCTGCACTTGGAATGGATAAGGCAATAAAAACAAGTATTGTGCAAGTCACTAACCAGGAAGACCCACGGGCAGGCTACACAGGACTTGAAACTGGGGATCTCAGGCATACTAAGTACCCCAAATGAGGGGTAAAACTCCTACTAACACTATCTAGCTAAATACTAAAAACTAAGTAACTAGAAAATGGTAAACTATTTACAAAAAACTGGAATTTGAAGCAGGAACATTAGCAAAGTTGTAGATACTTGGAGAGGTTCCATCTCAGACAAGGAGTGGTAAAAAGGAACTGGAGAGGCGGTCAGTCAGCACCACCCTTTATGCACTCAGTTCAGAGCACAAGGAGGCAGAGGGTGCAGGTGTGGACCAATGAACACTGCTAATGAAAAATCTACTGGTCTCAGGCACAGGGTGTGCATGCGCACCTCAAGTGGAATACACATAGGGACCATCATTCGGAGAACTTCAGAATTACCTTCTCCTTAAATCCTAATAATTTGTACATGTTCTCTCCCCCCCACTCATAAACACTTTTCACAGTTTCCTATGCAAAACATAAATCTTTTTCTAGGCCAAACATATTTTGTTTGAAACATGTCAAACTTCACTTTTGTCTTCTCCTACATCCAGTTCACAGTATATCTTATCATCAGTGCAGGAGTTTTCCCTCCAAATTACAGTTTCATTCAATGCAATTTAATGGCAACATTCTGCACTCTCTTATAGATTGCAATTAGCTTCCCTTTCTCTTATCATGCAAAGATTTTGTCAGTGGCTTTTGATTCAGGATCAAGACTACCTAACGAAAGGTAATATTCGAAGTATATCAATACTGACAGCAGCAAATAATACATCATTAAGAAAAAACTTGATTCACTAAGAAAATAAAATTGATAAATGGACAAAAGTATAAGTAGTACAAGATAAATCCTTCTCCACAGTACTAGCAAAATGTGAATATACATTTTTCTGCAAAATATGTCCTTTAAAAAATAAGTAACGGTACATTATTCTATATCTGGAAGTATCCCTTATATGCTGAGTATCTGACTAAAGATATAAAAACTACAGAGACTCACCAAGAGTTCAGACGTTCCTAATTTGTCTAGTTCCAAAGACTGGATTCGAGAAATATGAACACCCATTTCCCTATGTATTCCAGAACACTCTATACAGGTTAAAATGCCCAGGTTCGTTGACAGCCAAGTTGGATCTGTAGAAGAGGTTGAGAAATAAAATACTCAGCAAATATTAAAAAGAGTGAAAGTTATATTCTGTAAAAACCAATATTCCTCAATGAAAATGACTCCTCTTAACAAAAGCAACTTAATTATGAATATCTCATGTTTTTTTTCAAAATTCATCACCAAACTGAACCAAAAAGTTAATAAAATGCATTTTTCCATGAATCAAATTAAGTTTGTATATTCTAAAAATCCACCACCTATCTACAAACATCTAGGCCAAAATTTTCAAACCCAGGTGCCTAAACACATATTTAGGCATCTAAATGTAGTGCCCATCCCCCATATTTATCCATTTTGGCCTTAATTTTTAATCCTCAAAGTGTATTTTTTCATAAAGGATTCAATTAAGAAACATTTCACTATGGATGGAATGGACATCCATAGAGGTAACCTTTAAACTATAGGGCTGGCCCAGAAATAGTGCTCTGCATTGCCATGTGAGCATCCCTAAGTTTAATACCCAAATAGTTCTCACATCATGAATGTTGAAAAATGAGCATGTTCAATGCGTGACAGTTGTTTTTTTTCTTGGAAAACTTAACAGCAACAACATGGGCAGATTAGACAAGAAAGACAAGTGGTTCAAAATGAGCCTCATTCAGTCTTCCTTGACCAGATAATTAAGTGCCCACTACGTGAAGTCTTGAGTCAAGAGTTTAAAGCAAAAAGAAAGAGGAGAGATGCTTTGGACTTCATTAAAAATACAACGTGGCAAAGGTTAATAAAAAATATTTCCCCAGATTTCCAGAGATTTAAATTATAAACTACAAACTATTTATCATCTTTCAGTATTTAAAAAAGCAGTATTTTTCTATGGTTGCAATATTCTACTTACATATCTATCAATCTAAGCATTTCTAACGTACCCATCATTGTAGAATGTAGCTACCAGTATAATATTGGTATCTGCTACCTGCCAGAGACATTATTCTTCTATCTATCCCAGTCCTCCATTCTGAGGAACCTCCTTATGATATGAAAGCAGCAGCTATCAAGCAGTATAAACTTAGTAGCCCAACAATGATTTATAACTCTTAATTGTCCTCAAGCTCAGACAAGGGAAAATGACTGATATGTAATTCTGCTGCTCTGAAGGTATCATTCCGAAAGGATTCTTACACTGAGTCTTTGATTCCTGGCACAAGACTGGGAAAACTACCAAAGCTCTGAAGATTTTTGGCACCGATGGGTAAAAGGATAAAGCACAAACCAGGACACCCTATTGACAGTTGTGTCAAGCGCTTAGCTTAATTGCAAACCAATAAGGGGGTGGTTTGTGCATTGCCCTATTACCATTGTCCTTAGGGTCCAGAAATTTTAAGATCTTTGGCAATTCCATGCATCTCATGCTATGAAGCTGAGATCCAAGAATAAGACTCCTGGAGGATTACATCTTCCTTAATCACTGCCTAAGCACGACTCACTTCCAAGTAGCTTACAAAAACAGTGATGCCAAGCAATTTCCATTCCATTGCAATAAGGATCTGGAGAGAGTGCAACAACATCAGCAGTTCAAATCCCACAATGGGGCTTGAACTGCTGAAACTGAGTGCAGATAACATGCAACAGTGATGAATGAGACTTAGAACACTTGCTCTTTTAAACTAGGGTTGAAGGCTAAACTACATATTGCTTAGAAAGTTAATCTGCACTCTAAACTTTTTAAAAATAAGTTATTTTGCTTGAAATAAGACATTTGGTGACATTCATGTAAATTAAGATACCTGGTGATCCACAATCACAACAGACTTCATTTCCGGGTAATCTCTGTATATCATCAATAATGGCTTTTGTTAGATCCTCTAAACTGTTTTCCCCTGTGCTCTGCTCTCCGCGGAATGCCATGTTTAATGCTTCTTCTTTACTGTTAGTCAATACTGATATCCATCTAGTATAAAATGAAGGGTTTTTATGAAGATTGTTTTGCAAATACAACTTTACCTATAAACTATAGCAAGTTTGCAGGTGAAAGAACAGGGTAGACGTGGAGGGGAGGGAGTATACTGGGGGAGAGACTGAAAAGAAAGAATGGGGGAAGGGCAGAAGTAAAACAAAAATGAGAGAAGGAGGAACAAAGTAAAACAAGGGGAAAAGATTTTTAAATTGCTCATCAAAAAGTGTTTGAATTAATGTACTGGAACAATGTGTGCCATCATATGTAATTCCTGGTTTCTGCAAGTGGGTTAGAGCCTGGGAGTGGATAGAGACTAAGGGCCAGATTTGGAATGTAGGTACCTAGGTACTTTTGAAAATATCATTAGGCACTTATCTGCATCTTTAGACACCTAAATTCTTTAAAAAATCTGGCCCTGAGTTTTTTTCTATAATAGCCCATATACAAGGACTAGGAAGGCCAAACAGACGGGACAGGTCAGGAGTAAAAATGGGACAGGATTTTAGAAAAGAGGAGGAAAATAAGAATAGAGAGTAATGGAGTAACAGTAGTGGCCAACATTAAGACTGTAACTGGTAAAATGTGATCTTACAGATATCAACCTGTAACTTAGTCAAGTTAAAACAAATCAACAGAGAGTTAAAAGTTGTTTCAGGTATTATACCTGTCCTGAGTCTACCCACTGATTTTTAAGGGTTATACAACAACATTTTTAAAAGTGTATTTCTCTCACTTCCTGTTGTGTGAAAGACCCAAACTAAGAGGGGACATTGACTAACAGCTTTTACAAGGGAATTAGAAAAAATGGTTACACACTAAGTGCTGTCTAATATATCAAATGAGCAAGCTGAAAAAACAAATCAAAATAAGAACAAAATCCATTTTTTCCCCCCTCCAATCTCTTTCAGCTACAGTAATTGTGTGTTACTTGGAGCTAAAGCAGATAAAATAGCACACTTCTGTCTAAAAATGCTCTAGCTCCTCTTAATCAATTTCCTGCTTAGATATTTCAACTTTCTATACTCAGTGTGTGATTTTTTTTCTCCAGTGTGCTGTAATGTCTACGTTCAACTGAATGGATTGATGATGAAACTTTAGACTTAATTTCATAGTCTCTAGATTGCAAATACTAACACATGTGAGTAACTTTAGAGACATAAGTAGTTTAATGGGGAACTCATACGAATAAAGTTACATCATAAATGTTTGCAGAATCAGGGCCTGAATTTGTATTTGCACTCACATATGCACTTTTTTGTTTTGTGATTAATGCACAAAAGATGAATCTGGGAACAAACTGTCTTTCCAAAGAACTTGCAAAGGAAGGTTAGTAAAAGCAAGCTTAACATGTCCCCTTCCCTCCCCCCGGGAAATGTAAGCATAGTTCTGTGTACGGAAACATGTGCCACACATTATCTGAATTTGTAAAGTAAAATATATAAACACACTCTAGGTGGCAGTCATTTGCAATTTTGCTGATGAAGATCAGTTTGAGAAAGAAAAAGGAAGTATTCTTGGTTTCTGATATTAGCATAATCCAGATAAATTTAGGTAATGTACAAACTGAAATATTTGTTCATTTAGAAATTGGCAACTGGCTTAAAGAACTTGTCAGCAGCTACAGTTATTATAGTTCCAATTTAATTGCAATTAGGATAAATAGATTAACATCCAACCTCAAATATACAATAGCAATTTAAAAAAAGCAACTTTCAATCACCATCAGATGTAATGAAAATTAGAAGAAAAATTGGATGTGTGAAATGACCACAGGTTTGATCTAGAGTTTCAAGCATTCTTTTATTTACTACAGTTACATACAGCAATAACAATTCTCTTTTTATTCCTTTTAGCCAAGGAAATGAATAATTCCATATAGCTGCATATCACCTGACACAATCTCTGAAAAATTCAGAGCACAAAGTGTCATACTGTGTGCTGTAGCTAGAGATTATCAGCAGGGCCAATTTAACACAAACATTCATGCCATTTATATAACAAAATTGCTCATTAGCACTCCAAATGGCAGAAATATAATATACACATTATTCACTGACGAACAACTCCCTCTCCCAAAACCTCAAACCAGTAAGATGGCATTTTAACCCAATATGACATTACCAAGTGTCCTATGGTTCTCTATTTTAATCATAGCTTTGTTGTTTTGTACAGTTTCTGTTTGAAGTACACAGAATGCTTCTGCTTCACTGTATGAAGCCACTGGACTCAATGTAATATGCAAAGATGATCAGATATAAATTTGTAGTGTTAATGAGAACCAGTTGCACAGTTGTCCAATCTTATTATAGGCCAAGGTTCTGCAATCTCTACCACAATTAAGTAGTTGTCCAGCTTTCCATGTTGTTTCTTTTCCTCAGGTGTCTAGATGTTGGACATCTTTCTGTTTTCTCCGCGGACTCCCTTATTGCCCACAGGTTTCGGTCATTGGTCTGTTTTGGGGGCAGTGTGCTGAGCCAAGTAGCCTGCTAGGCTAGACTGAGAACTTGCTAATGAGGTTCTAGTTTGCTATCCTTTGATTCCTAATCCCTTTAGGATCCCTTGACAAGATGGCAGGGCTAATTCAGGGAGAACAGGAGTTCATAAAAACAGCTTCTAAGGGTACGTCTTCACTTACATCCAGGTCCGGATGTAAGCAATCGGTTTTCTGAGTTCGATTTATCGCGTCTGGTTAAGACGCGATAAATCGATCCCGGATCGATCCCGGAAGTGCCCCGGATCGATCCCAGAAGTGCTCGCCGTCGACGCTGGTACTCCAGCTCGGCGAGCGGAGTACGCAGCATCGACGGGGGAGCCTTCCTGCCGCGTCTGGACCGCGGTAAGTTCGGACTAAGGTACTTCGAATTCAGCTACGTTATTAACGTAGCTGAATTTGTGTACCTTAGTCCGAAGTGGGGGGGTTAGTGTAGACCAGGCCTAAGCAACTAAAGGAACTAGGAAACAGGGAAGTTTTGCAAGGGAGTTGAGAGAGGGACTGTGGGACCCAGATACACCTAATAAAAATCCTTTAAACTTAGTACAATAACCTCCCCACACACACACACACACACAAAATAAAATAAAATAAAGAACAAACAAATAAATCCTGCAAGACTAAAAATAATACAGGCAGAAGTCCAGCAGTATAGTGAGGGGCTATCCATTTTTTTGCACTGAATGCAGCATGTAGGACTGCATACGTGTACATTCAGTGCAGGCCTTCAGAGACAGACTACGGGCTCTTGAGACCAGAGTGGCTGAACTGGAGATGCTAAGGGAGACAGAGAGGTACCTAGAGAAGATTTTCAGGGACACAGCAGAGTGGTCCTACCCCCAACCTGATAGCCTTTCTGCTGTTAAGGAGGATGAAAGTCTCAAGGAAGGAGAATGTCAAGCTGGAGCAGAGGAAAACATTCCCATAACTGGGTCCCTCCTTCCAGATAATGTCCTGGTATCCTCTCGCACTGAGGATACCTCTCCGGATGAGGGGACCCCAGTTATTAGGAAGAGATAAGTAATAGTAATGGAGGTTTTAATTATTAGAAATATAGACAGTTGGGCTTGTGATGATTGGGAGACTGGCTCAGTGAATTGTCTGCCAGATGCAAAGGTTGTGGACCTCTCGAGACATCTAGATAGACTTATGTGCCATGTTGGGGAGAAGTTGATGCTCATGGAACATGCACGTAAAAATGACATAGGGAAAGGTAGGAGAGAGGTCCTGGAGGCCAAATTTAGATTAAAATCCAGGATTTTCATGGTAGCATTCTCTGAAATGCTTCCAGTTCCACATGCAGGCCCAGAAAGACAGACAGAATTACAGAGTCTCAATGCATGGATGAGATGATGGTATTGGGAGGAGCAATTTAGGTTTATTATGAACTAGGGAACCTTTTGGGAAAGGAGGATCCTATCTAGGAAGGATGGGCTCCACTTAAACCAAAATGGAACCAGATTGCTGGCATGAAAAATTAAAAAGGTATTATAGGAGTTTTTAAACTAAGGGCTGGGGGAAAGCACATGGTTTGGACACAGAAGCACACAGTTTCTTTAGGGGAAAATTTATTAAAGGGGATACTCTATATCCTAATAAAGATGAGAGAATATAAGTTGAGAAAGTACAGATAAGAACTGAAGAGAAACTCTGAAATGAAAAAGAGTCCCACTCAATTACAGCATATGAAGCCAGACAATGAAATATTGACAAATTTTAGAAGTGCTTGTGTACCAATGCAAGAAGTCTAAATACTAAGATGGGTGAACTTGATTGCCTGGTATTAAGTGAGCTATTGATATAATAGGCATTAAAGAAAGTTGATGGAAAGATGATAATAGGACATAGTAATAACAGGGTACAAAATATATAGGAATGACAATTAGGTTGCGCTGTTGGGGGAGCGAAGGAAAGGAAGCATAGAGTCAAATATAGTAAAAATCTTAAATGAATTAAACTGAATTATAGAATCTCTATGGATAAAAATTCCATGCTTGAATAATAATAAATAATAAACAACAATAATAAAGCAGTAGGAATATACTATCCACCACCTGACCGGATGGTGATGGTGACTTTGAAATGGTCAGAGAGATTAGAGAGGCTACAAAAATAGAAAATTCAATAATAATGGGGGATTTCAACTACCCCCATATTGACTGTCACCTAAGGACCAGATGCAGAGGTATAATTTCTAGACAGCATCAATAACTACTTCTTGGAGCAGATATTCCTGAAATACACAAGGGGAGAGGCAATTCTTGATTTAATCCTAAGTGAAGCACAGGATCTGATCCAAGAGGTGCATATAGCCAAAGAAGTTATTCACCTAGTGCTGTAGCGATGGTTCTTTGAGATGCATCCCCCAATGAGTGCTCCACTGTAGGGGTCCCTGCGCTGCTGATCAGAGAATTTCAGTAGCAGTGTCCACTAGCTCCCCCACCCCCACTGTCTCTCCTTGTGCCTTGCCATGAGGCTAGTCAGTGCGCGGAAGCTAACCCAC